AAGAGGTGTCATTAGAATCTATGGCAGAAAAGCAAGGTCCAGAGTGTTGTACAACAAGAATAGATGGTGGCTTTTGCAGAAATGGTGCAGGGGGTTATGGAGTGTTGTATGGCTGCTAAAAATATGGGTATCAACAGATTATGTATGGGTTGTGATTCGGCCACTTTAGTAAATTATCTGAATCAAAAATCTTTTGATTGTGCTCCTCTGGTATGGCCCCTGCTTCAAGACTTATATGCTTTAGAAGATTTCCATCTGTGTTTCAAGGCACATAAATAGATCCAAGAATTTTGTGGCTCATGAGTTAGCCCGGAAAGGTAGGCAAGGCTAGCATGGTATTTGGACAAGCCCTCCTTCGTGGCTATCCCTTTTTCTGAAAGAAGATGCTAAGATGCCATCTTTGTCTGTGTGGAAGCCGCCATAGTTTGTTTGTTGTGATGAACAGCCCTATGACACGTATTGAAAGTTTAAAATTGAGCTGAGGCTAGGCCAAGTCAGTACTTGTTGAATTTCTAATAGGCCCAAGTTAAGAGGTGGTCCAATCCAATTAAATGCAACTGTTGTCGTAGCTCCAGATGCCCAAATCTATTGAGGAATTGTCTAAACTGAACATATGGACCATGTGCCTCTCTGATTATTTGTCCACATCAGCCCTATCCTCAAACATGCAACCAACCTTGATATTTAAATTGTTGATTCACAGTTTACTTGTTACATGGACCTATGCCCACCTTTGGATGGGCCTCACCAAATAGAGAACCAAGTGACTCCCTTTCTGCCTGGGCTGCATGGGCGTAGTTTTCAGGCCCATACAACAATTAGGATTGGACCACATAGGTTTTAGGCCCAACAAAAGACATTGGAAAGACGGAGAAAATATATTATGCACCTGTGACACCATTAAAATTAACCAAGTAAGGAATACAGAGAAAGTACATACACCTCTTTATTGGGGATTTGGACCACTTTATTTTTGATAAGAATTAAGAATAGTTGTAAATTGATACGAGAGAGAGAGAGTCCTGTTCAGAATCAGAATGTGGGTTAGGCAAGGTGGTCATAATATTCAAAACCATTTAAGGCATTATCACTTCATTTTATTAGAAATAGAAATATTAGGGTTGTCAACCTATAGATTGGACCTGTGTTTTGGGTCCTAATTATAATAGGATCTGGACTGGGTATTCCTAATACTTCGAATATGTTTCTCATGGTTTAGTGGTGATTGATGAGGATATGGAAGTTGTTCTATTTTTTTAATTGAATTATCAGGCTTATCAATTATAATCGGCCCAATAAGACTGATTAATAATAGGATTAGTTGTGAGTCTATTACTTACAGACCCTAATCTATAGGGTTTGGGGTGTTCTCTTATTGGGTCTAACGTCAACCAATTTCACATACTATCGTAGCACAGGGCTAAAACCGAAAATGAAGGCCTTAGATTTATTGTTGTGGCCCCACCAATATATTATTTCGTCTAGTTCAAGGCATGGCCATATCAATAAATCAAAGGCTTTGATGTTGTTGTTTCAATACAGTGCTACGATAGTGTTATAGCAAAAGACCCATTGAATTTACTATACGATGACAAAATTAAAGGTTATAAATTATGAGAAAAGGCAAGAGAAAGGTAAAGATTCACCTTCTGGGTTTGGATGGAACCTGAACTTGAGAAGAGATATTAGGGACACAGAGTTAGCTTGTATTTTAGCCTTATTATCCATTCTTGAAGGGGTTTTCATTGAGCCATTGAAATCAGACAATAGAATATGGACACTCGCTCCCTTAGGTTCCTACACTTGTTCCTCTTTCTTTGAAGCCCTTTTACCCCCTTCTCCTGTTGATTTGCCTTTTCCTGTTAAAGAAGTGTGGTGCCGACCTATACTTCCAAAGGTTGGGAGCTTCTGTTGGGAAGCCTTTCTAAAAATAGTTAATATTAGGGCTGTTCATAAGAAGACCCAAACTGACCAACCCGGTCCGACCCAACCCAAGTCAACCAAGCTTTCTTTAGCATCAGTCAGTTTCGGGTTACTAAAAAACATAAACCGATGGGTCGGTTCGATTTTAGTTTCCACACATAAAAAACCAAAATCAAACCGACCCAAACCGACTTAGTTCCTATTTAGTACTTAGTAGTTAGTACCTAACTTAGTTTCTACTTTCTAGTTACTTATAGTTTCTACTTTCTAGTCTTCTCTTTAGGAATGCCATTAATGGCAAGCATTGCAAGACAAGGAATGCCATTAATAGCTTCTTGCATTTTTTTGGAATGTTTAAAGAAAGGATCCTATTCTCCAAGGTCCTTTACATCAAATAGGTAATTACAATTAGGTGTCTTTTTTACTTAGATTAGAAACCTTCTTAAAAATTCCAAATTTCAGTCTTCTTTTTCTAACACAATTTGACTTTCTCTTTTCTTGGTAACTTCTAACTTGGTCCGCCCTTACTCCCTTAGCCCCTCAACTCAAGCACTCAAACCGACCCAAATCGATCAGGTCGGTTTTGCCCAACATATGGTCAGTTTTGGTTTCATTTTCCATCAACCTGACTAGATCGTGTCGATTGGAAAAACAGTAGTAAACCGACCCAACTTGACCCGTGAACAACCCTGGTTAATATAGGGGATCTACTTCAAAGAAAAAGACCCAATAATTGTTTGTATCCTCACAAGTGTGTCCTCTGTAAATATGATGGTGTGTCTGGATACCACTTACTAATTTCTTGTCGGTTTGTCAAAGTCATTTGGGAATGGTTTACTTTTTTGTTTGGGTGCAGGTGGACTCCCCCATCGAATGTGCAAAGCTTAATTACTTCCATGCCTAACTGGCCAATCAAAAGGGCCAAGATCATGTGGAGATGTGATAGGACTACAGTGTGTTGGACTGTTTGGGAGGAGAGAAATTCAAGGCTATTTTCAAATAAGGAGAGAAATTTGCAAGTAATTCTGGAAACTATCCACATTAGGGTGATACAATGGTTGAAAACCTTGGAATTGTTTGTAGTGTTCCCAGTTGATGAGATGCTCAGAAAGTGGAAGGAGATTGCAGAGTCAATCTCAATCAAGAAGACTTCAAATTCCTACTGAACACCTTCACATCATGGTTTACCAAATTGAATTTTGATGACAGCAGCATTGGCAATCCAGAGCCCTCCGGAGTGGGGGGAGTGATAAGAGATAAAAAAAAAAAGAAATTCGTTAGCTATGTATTCTGGTCCAATTGGGGTGGGAGATTCGTTAAGGGCTGAGATTCTAGGAGCTCTTGAAAGGATACAAAGGGCCAAGGAAGTGAATATTATAAAGTTGATCCTAGAAGGTGATTCTGAAATTGTAGTGAATTTGACTAAAAGAGGACAATTCTATACTCTAGAAATACATCAATGAAAAGAGGAAAGCTCAAGTAGCTCACCAAGGACATTGAAATCCGGTGTAAATGGATAAAGAGAAGCACAAATGCTTTGGCAGATGGTCTAGCTGGGCAAGGGGTGAATAGAAACTCTATTTTTTGGGCTGTTTTGTAATTGTTTCATGTTTAGGGGTGTATAGGGTAATAGGGAGCTAAGATTCTTTAGCTCCTTACCTTGTAACTCTGATTTTCTTAATTATTAATAAAATTCATCGCTATTGATAAAAAAAGGGGGAAAGGTAGGGAACCTATGCAAGGTTTGTATAGGTTTCCCTTCCTTTCCCTACCTCTTCTTTTCAAACCAAACTCAGAGTAAGAGTTAGACAATGAAGAAACAACATATTTCTTTAAAAGAATACAGATGAAATGAAAATTAATTATAAAACTCTAAAGAGAAAAATTAAAAATGATCAAATTAGAAACGACTTAAAGTAGAACAATGAGAAATAAAATAGAAAATTTGATCATTAAACGACAAATGATCTCGCTCACGAAAAGTGACTTGGTGCAGGTAGAAGACTCAAAGAACAAGAGGACAACCAAAGAAAATATGGTTTGAAGTGGCAACAATATTATCTAAGAACATAAAATTTCATGAGTTTAAAAGCTTTCATATTCTCTGACAAATGGGGATTTGCTCGAGTCTTGGCAGAGAGTTTCAAACACCAACCTCACAGCACTTTAAGCCATGCATTCGGAACATCTCTCACACTTGAATGCTGTCCTCATGGGGAGATGTTCCCAATGCACAGTTGGATGTGCTGTGAGGTGGTGCAAGGAGTGCTCTGGATTCATCTTTCCAATGGCACGTATAAATGTCATTAAAATGGCAGATGCAGCTATAAGACACCAAAGGGATGCTGAGAATTTTGAAAACGGAAACATCAGCAAAAACAATATAATTTACGGTCAATTTTATTTTTTTCAATACAAAACCAACCATATTGTCGAACACTGCAGAATATGCTCCAGGTGGGAACAAGAACACAGATGTAGTATGGTACCATGGCCATCACACCATCAATCTCCGGAGTCCAGACTGGTTAATTACTTGAAGGGGGTGTTCTTTTTTCGAATTTTGGGAGGAGAGAAAGTTGGCCACTGGTATTTTGATTCCCATTGACCAAGAATCCTATGCTCTTTTTTCGGATTTATGTGTGTGGAGATCAGAGAAAGCTTATTTTCCCGAGTATCCATCTCCTAGGAAAATAACTTTCCCACCTGGAAGGAAAATTACCAACACTTGAATGGAACAAAACTGCCATTTTTAATAATGGAATTTTATGACTAAAATGGCCATTGCCTTATTTACATGAGAAATAAAAGAACATAAGTAAATGCACTTATCCGAGTAAGTGTTTCCCAGGAAAAACTTACCCAAATAACTGCATTTACCTGGATAAGTAACTTACCGAAAAGTGAATGGGATCACAAGCTTTTTCTTGCAGTTTCTTCCCCCCACTCCCCTTGCCTGTTCATAACTCATGACAATAGTAGCATAGCACATTACCTCTAATTGTACACAATGTATTATTGCATTTCAGACGACAGCCAGATAGCACAAACTCACAAGTCGCAAGAGGCTAGACGCAGACGAAAAAACCACCTCCCTGGCATTTTTGAGTGATTCAAATTTCAAACTACATACACTGTTTATAATTAGAATTACAACACTGGAGTATCACTCCCCAACCCGCATTTTACACAAGATTTTCTATAGGATCCCTGCTCCCACATTAAGACCCATCGCTCGCAGAAAATCCAATTTCTGGGCAACCATTTCCCTATCTATAACTCAACTCAAGCCAACATACATTTTCTCCATTCTTTTTCTTCTGAATCACAAACGCCTGAAGAATCTCTTTCAGGAGTGGCCGCCCATGAATATACGAGAATGACAATGGCTTTAAAATACCTAAACAAACCTCAACTCTCAAAGTCCAACCCATTTTACCCATCTGAAGATACGCCCAACCCTAAAAGGCAGCCCATAGTCTTTGGCAACTGCAGGTTCTCTCCTTGCAGTCTCTGGTTCAGACCAGACATAGACCCCACGCTCTTGCCTGCTGCCAGGTACAGTGTTGTCCAGAATCACAGCTATAAGGAAAGCAACGACCATATGAAATGACAGCAATGTGTTCATAACATAGTTTACCTGCAAAGAAAATAATGAATGAAGTCATTTCCTCTAAATGCACAATGATACACGTGGAGTAAGACCCATTATTTGAGGATTACCACTTGGGAAAATTCCTATACCAAAAAATGTGTTCCAAGAAGGCAAGATTCAGATTGGACCAGATTGGACTGTGAAAACCGGAAACTGGTTATCATTGAGGTTTTTTATAACACCAGTTTTCAAATTTCTGAAAAACCAGCTGACTGCTGACCCACCAGAAATCTGTGAGAACCGTTGAAAACTGGGTGGGTTGTCACTGATTTATTATAAAATCATAAAATGGAAATAATGAGATTTGAACCTATGACCTCTCCTTTGCATGGGTTAACACACTACGATTCATCCATCATGGTATTTGCACTTTTTTGTCTCTTTAATATCTATATTGATCAAATATGTATATGTATGTGTGTTTGTGTGTATCTTTGAAATTTAAATAAAACAAAAGCTAAAAGACTTGCACCCTGGTCACTTGTATTTAAAACCAAGACAAATACCATCTGACCACAAGGTCCACCACTTTACACATATGTCTTAACATGCCTAATATTTTTATATTTTATAAATATGACATCAAGGGTCAGTGGTTGACACAGCACTTGGACCATCTGACCTGTGACCCAGCAGTCTTTCTGGTTATGTGAATGGTCCAATTCTTACAACATTGACCATAACCATCTTTTTAGGGCTGTCAATGGGTCAGGTTTACCTCACAGAACCAAACCAATTATTTCAGTCCTGGCTCTGTGGTTTTGCCCCGACTAACAATCGTGTTGCAACCATATTCTTGCTGTTCCAAACCAATCACATAATTAATCATATATAAAGATCTCTTGGTTTTTTCGTAATCTTTGTTATATCTATATATAAAAGATTAAATTTCATAAATAGTATATAAGGTAATTATGGTTCAAACATCAAAACACATATTTTATCAACATATAACCAGTTTAGAATTGCAGTTTCAGTTTTGTTAAGGTTACATTATCAAAATGAAGTTCTAAATTGTTATTATTATTGGTAATTATAGTGCCAAGTATAATCAGGTCTAATCAGGCCACCTGATTGTCCCAATTAATAATTAGTTCGGTTCTGGGTCCTTATTGTCCCAATTAATAATTGGAACAGGATTGTGCACCCTGTCCCAAACCAGACCCAACCCATTGACAGCTCTATATCTTTTATTTACAAGGTATGTGCTTCAAGTCCATAATTTTTATGATCATCCAAAAGAAAGACATATTGGCATGGAAACATTGTCCCTACATTTATTTTAACAGGTGCTACACACTAAATGAAAATTACTGATACAGGTACTTCTAAATTTTCTCATAAAAAAAAAGGAATGTGAAACAGAATCTTTGGAAAAAAATTCTCCAACTGAAACTTGTATGCACTAGGTCCTCTTTATATTTAACTTCTACCCAATTACTCCTAAAATGGCACTAGGTCCTCTTTATATTCTTTTTCCTTCGTATTTCTACCTTTTCTTATGAAGCTAGAAATATAGTTTCTTTTTATTTTTATTATTTATTTTGTTTAATTAATCATTACCTAATTAGGCTTTTTTATCAATACCTAATTAAGCTTCAGACAACATATAATTCTGAAAAGCTAAGCTCCCCTCCTAATAACAGGGAGAAAGAATATAAATAAGTATTCTTTTTATTTCATTCACAATTAATAATATATTGAACACGAAAATGGGATTTGTACTAGATTTAGGACTTAGTGGGCATAACTTTACAAATATGGAAAATCAGTGCAAAGAGATTTATGCACTATCTTAACTGTCAAAGGAAATTGTAATCATACCTTTTGGTAATTTTCCTAGATTTAAAGCACAAGTAATTCCCTAAACACTTGAGAAGATGATACTGCAGTGTCTCCTAAATGTTGCCATATTGATTTTTCTTATTTTACTCAACTAATAGACAGACCCACATGGCAAGGACTAAGAAGCAACTAATTTCAGAACGTGCATTATCAAAGGAGAGATACATACCCCGCCATATTTTCCTTGGAAAGGTCCATGAGATGCCACAATGTATGGTTGGAAATAACTAGGTACATATGAGTTTGCATTAAGACTGACACCATATTGCTGGAAGTAAGCAGGTATTGATAGGGAGAAAAAAAGAGAGAGCCCAACTATGATAATATTTCTGGAACTTCCTGCCTCACTGTAACGCAAGTTTGACAAGCCCAATGCTGCTAGCACTGCCCACATGAAGCAAAGTAGAGCAGCAACCATGACATCAGGAATTGAAGCAATAAAGCCCCCAATTTTACCTGTAAGCATGCCAGTAGGTTGAGTAAAATAGCATAATAAAACAATATTAGTAAAAAGCATAAAGGGATAGGAAATGCAAGTTTTTTGAGGAATAACCTAACAGTTTAATCGTGAAAGTTCAGTTGATTTAATGGTCAAATCAGTTCCAAACTTCCAAACACAGCTGGAACTTTCCAACAGCAAAACTATTCCACAACATAATATTGCACACGTATGATTTTCCTACCAGTCACATCCATCAATGGGCCACAGCTCCAATAATCATATCACTGTATGGTTTTGCCTCCACGCAGGATGTTCAAAATATAGGAATCTTGGTTTAAGTTGGCTAGAAAGAAAAAAGGTTAGTCACATGCATAGTTGCATATGCTTTAGCATTTTGTTTGTTTGCTTGTTTGTCTCTGGTGGGGATGTCAGGATCATGGTTAAGCATGAAATACAAAATTCATAGCATTCCCACAAAAAAACTTAATTTTTAAAATTGCCATGTAAGATGCATTCAACCTGTCTCACATGAACATGGTTATGACAATGGCAATCGTTTCCAATATTGGCATTTCTCAACATTTTGTTCTCTTATAATATGTCAGTATTTCCATGGTCTATCCCGATTGCCCCCAAGCCACCCAGTTACAACACGAGTCACCTCCAACAATTACATTTCTGACTCTCAGCATTTTAGCTCTTCTAAGCCCTTGAAGAGCTTCCCATGCTTCTGCTGTGATGGAGTCTCCTGTCCCTATAGAGACCATAAATATAATGGCAATATAATTTCTGGTATAATATAAACTATATTATTCCTATATGCAATCCCATGTAAACATACCGAAAGGAAAAACGTAAACCTATTGCATTTTCGGCCCTGTCCATCATGTTCTTTTGCCTAGGTTGATCATTCCTAGCCCAGCCTAACCCCAAGCAACCACAAATTGCCACACCTGGGCCTAAGTTTTCTGCAATGTTTTAGAACGCTGAGGCATGATGCAAGGCGTTCCACTACCTAGAGGTGTGAGGCATGGTTCAGAACGTAAGAGGCATAAGCCTCTCAAACACAAGGAGGCTTAAGCCTCCTTAAGAGAAAGCGGGGATGAGGAGGAAGGAGGAAGAAGAGGAAGAAAAATCCCATTTTTCTTTATATTAATAAAAATCTTTTATCTTAAGAAAAATGAAGATGCATAGCACTAGTTGAAAGGGGGGGTGGGGTCTTCCCTTCCCTTTCCTTTTCTCTTTTTCTTCTCTTTCTGTTTCTTCCCCTTCCCTTCCCTTTCCTTTCCTTTACTTTTTTTCTTTTTCTTTTTTTTCTGTCTTTTTACATTAGGTGTGCATGAGGCGTATGCCTCTAGCACGCCTCATGAAAAAAAAGTATGAGGCATACGCCTCAGAGGTGTCAGCACCTCTGGCATATGCCTCAGGGCATTTTGGGGGCGCCTCCAAGCGTACACCTCCCACGCCTTTTAAAACACTGGTTTTCTGTCCACCAGGGTGTGGGCAGGCCCCAGGCCTGGGCTTGCATGAAGACCCTTATCCATGATCATTCCAGCCCATAATCCAGTCAAGTTGAAAAAAGGTTGGTCGTAAATTTTCAAAATGATGATAAATATGAAGAGCCAAAACTCACCATCCCTCCATCTGATAAGTTTTGGCCCAATAGGTCTGACTACATAATGACGATAAAGATGATTACAGTGATTATGCAGCTAAAGATTTTCAAAATTCACCTATCACCAGTTGTCATTCACTAACCATATGGGAAAAGTAAAATACATGTTAAGGATTGGGGCAAATCTGCATAGTGATAAAAGTTTCCATTTATGCTACCCTACAACATACAGTTCAAATCCAAAACAGAGAAGTTTAATACTTACCCACAAGGGACAAGAGTATCAAAATGCATGCACCTAACTCAACTGCTCTGCGGCTTCCCATTTTAGTCACAGCAATTGTATGCACATTTTCTGTAAGGGTCGTAGACCCAGTTCCTGTACCCCAGAGACCAGCCAATACGCTAGAAAGACCTTCAAGACCAATTCCTCGGCTGAGAACACCTGGGGTTGGAGGTCTGGATGCCACAAGTAATGATGATGCGTGGTATGACCCAACCTAAGAATAAGAATTAAACCCACTTAGAACAATCAGAAATTCTAATAGAACTAAAGATGCAATAAATTCAAGTAATGCAAATAACTTTTCGTACACCATAATGCCACAAATTCCACAACTAAAATTTGCCATAATTCCAACTTCCCTTGATATGCTTATTACTAAACCTGAGAAATCAAAAATTTGACTTCAGATAGTTTGAATGGGGGAGTGGGGGGGAATGGGAATGGGGAGAGATTACGTTGGCACTTCATCATGACGTATTTTCCAAACTTGACATATCACAATAGCTGCCTTCTTATACTAGTAAAAATTTAAAAAAATATAAGGTATTAGAAAGAGACAAGAACATGGATGCACGAGAAACCCTTGTCCTCTTTGCTCATGGTGACTTGTACCATCACCATTTTCATGGCTATATGAATGCACATGATTCCCAATATCGACGATACTTGGCAATGTATCCCAAATATCCTCATTTGCTAGGTAGCCATACGAAATCTTCCAGGAATCTTTTTTTCAAATATCCCTGATATTTTGCCGATATTTCAGATTTCATTGATGGACTATATATTTAAATTTTAAATTTTAGAATATTATTAAAAACTAGTTAATATTTCATTAAAAGTTAAAACCATCATAATTTTTTTAAAAATATTTTCCTAAAAGAACCAGCAGGGAATTGGTGATTAGATAATTGGCTTACCACTTTGATATGATTCACTTATTAAATCACTATAATCCAAAAGAAAAATGAAAATGAATGTAACTATAAAAGAATATTCTCAATCTAATCTAATCAAAACATATAATAACAATAAAGACAAAAGTTAAGATGGCAAATAACTGACATATATAAAGAGAAGATGACTAAAGACTAAAAGTGAGACAGAGAAACATACCTATTACAGTCTCTTAATTTTTATTTGATTTATATAGTTCTTTGCTATGGTTTTGAGCCTTAAATGTGCAATTATATTTCTTCTAATGATCTCTTTGAAGGTTTATTAACTAATTCTATGTTTCTAGAAAACTTCTCTGATTTTTTAGATTTTTCAAATATCTTAGTAAAATTAGCGAAATTTCTCCAACTCTACATGGGGAAATGTTCATCAATATTGAAATTGCTAACTATGTGCATGCATTCTGCTATATGCAATGCAAATTGGAAAGATATTTAGCCAATATTATATACACACTTTTACCTTCAAAAGTGCAAGTTGTTTTCAGGTGAACTTTCAGTACATCACTAACGATCACCAAACGTATTGGCATTCACCTCATTATCAGAAGTCAATACATAATAAACTAGACAAAATGCAAAATCCAATAGTCAAACAAGGCAAAGTCGGAATGAAAGTTAAGGTAAGGTGATTAAGACAGGCCATTACCAAGTGGAACATTTTGAAAGACAAACAACAAATGAAGATGATATCATGTTCTGTTGATAGTTCAGTCGAACCAGGTTCAGAAATAGAGAAGAGAGAAAGAGAGAAGAAGAGAGAAAGAAGAAAAGAAGAAGTGTCGAACAGACAGAACACATCTTAACTTATGATGAAAAGACAAAAATACCCTTCCTTAGCCGACTCTAGCACTCTCCCTCAAGCTGGAGAGTATATGTCATATAGTCCCAGCTTGTTACATATATAATTCACTCTTCCAGAACTCAACCCTTTTGTAAACAAGTCTGCCCACTGATCACCTATTCTCACATGCTCTATACTTGTGACACCAATAAGCACTTTTTCTCTCACAAAATGGCAATCTACCTCTATGTGTTTAGTACGCTCATGAAAAACTGGATTGGATGAAATGTGAATTGCAGCTTGGTTGTCACAGTATAGTTTCATTGGTTTGTTTATTGAGAACCAGATTTCCTGCAAAAGATTTTTCAACCACACTAGTTCACATGTATGTGCCATGGCCCTGTGTTCTCCTTCAGCACTACTCCTTGCTACAACAATTTGCTTCTTGCTCTTCCATGTCACCAGATTTCCTCCAAGAAAGGTGCAGTAACCTGTATTCACATGTATGTGCCATGGCCCTGTGTTCTCCTTCAGCACTACTCCTTGCTACAACAATTTGCTTCTTGCTCTTCCATGTCACCAGATTTCCTCCAAGAAAGGTGCAGTAACCTGTAGTGGATCTCCTGCCCAATCTGCATTTGTAAGTCAACTATTTCGAGACTTCCTCCTAGCTTGTACAATAACCCACGACCTAGAGCCCCCTTCAAATACCGCACAATTCTAAGGACTATATCTCAGTGAGGAACTCGAGGGCTTTGCATGAATTGGCTTACCACACTAACAGCAAAGGAGATATTTGGTCTAGTAATAGTTAAGTAATTCAGTTTTCCCACTAGCCTTTTATACCTTCTGAGATCATCAAATAATTCACCTGTATCACTGCCCAATTTCACATTCAGTTTCATGGGAGTTTCAGCTAGCTTAGCACCTAATAGTCCCGTTTCTTCCAATAGGTCAAGAACATATTTCCTCTAACACAAGTTTATGCTTTGCTTCAATCTAGCAACTCCTATACCCAAGAAGTACTTCAACTTCCCAAGATCCTTTGTCTGAAAGTGATATTGTAGAAAGACCTTCAGTCTATCACTGCTAGTTATGACTATGTCATCCACGTAAACCACTAGCAAGATCTTCCGGCTTCAGAATCATAGCTAAACACCGAGTGGTCAACTTGACATTGTCTCATTCCGAACTCTTTCACTACCTCACAAATTTGCCAAACCAAGCACGGGGATACTGTTTAAGCCCATAAATTGCCTTCTTGAGCTTACACACCTTACCATCCTCCCCCTGAGCAACAAATCCTGGTGGTTGCTCCATGTACACTTCCTCTATAAGATCTCCATGGAGGAAGGCATTTTTAATGTCAAGCTAAATAGGGATCAATCATACATGACTACTAAAGAAATCAACACACGGACTAGCCAATCTTAGCAACAGGAGAAAAGGTTTCCACATAATCTATACCATATAGTTGAGAATATCCTTTGGCAACTAGACGAGCTTTCAACCGTTCCACTCTCCCACCTGGTAGATATTTAACAATATACACCCATTTACAACCAACAACATGCTTACCTGGGGGAAGATTGGTGAGTTCTCATGTGTGATTGTGTTTAAGGGCAAAGAGTTCATCTTCCATAGCTTTCTTTACACCACCCTGGTGAGGTAAGAGCCTCCCATACATCCTTAGTTGTAGATACAGAAAATAACAGAGAAACAAACTAACAATGTGAAGCGGAAAAGTGAGAGACAGAAACATAATTGGATATAGAATGCAAAGTGCAACTATGTTTACCATTCCGTAATGCAATAGGAAGATCAAGATCAGAAGGCAACTCGGGTGTAGAAGAAATTAGATCTACAGACGAAGTAGAAGCTGGAGGAGGTGCTAGTCTTTGTTGGTGAGTATACACTTGGCGGATTGGTGGTCTTTCAGTATGATCCTACACTAAAGGAGGTAGAGACTCAGACACAGCGGGAACAACAAGAATGAAATTGTCAACCAGAAGGGGAAGAGGAAGAGGAACCTCTGTGGGAAAGAGAGACATATCAGGATCTGAGAAGAACGACACAAACTCAAAAAATGTAACATCAGGGCAAATAAATGACTTCTGTGTAATGGGGTTGTAGCATTTATACCCTTTTCGAGTCCTAGAGTAGCCAAGAAAGATAAACTTAATTGAGTGTGCATCCAACTTATCTAAACCAGGACCTAGATTATGAACAAAGCACACACACCCAAAGATCCCGGGAGTCAAGGGATATGGACACAAAGTGGGAAACAAAATAGAAAACGAAGAACGACCGTCAAGAATGAATAAAGGCTTGCGATTAAAGAGAAAACAAGTAGTAAGCATTGCATCACTCCAAAAGCATTTGGGAACATTCATATGAGGAAGAAGGGACCGAGTTGTTTCAAGTAGATGTCGGTTCCTCCTCTCAACCACCCCATTTTGTTGAGGGGTGGATGCATAAGATATCTAATGAATAATGCCATGTTGCTCCAAATACTGCTGAAATGAAGTAAGGAAATACTCTCTGCCATTGTATGAACGGAGAATTTTAATTGGAACACCAAATTGTGTACGTATCTCAGCATGAAATTTTTGGAAAGTGGAGAATAATTCACTCCTTTCTTTCATTAAATAAATCCATGTCATTCTTGAACAGTCATCAACAAAAATAACAAAATATGTGTAGCCATTATAGGACTTATTTCTAATTGGACCCCAAACATCTGAATGGACTAAAGCAAAAGGGCTCAGCATACAACTATCAACTCTAGGACTGAAGGAAGCCTGATGGTGTTTCCCATACTGACACGACTCACACTGCAAAGAAAACAAACGACTCAATGATGGAACAAGTAGCTTGAGAGCTTTAAGAGATGGGCGACCAAATCTATAATTCCAATGGAGAGGAGTCAAAGAAGTCTAAAGTGCAACTGTAGAACCACCACCATCAAGGTAATACAATCCACTAGCTTCATGACCTCCACCAATCATCTTCTCCGTCTTGAGATCCTGAAAAACACAAGAGGAAGGGTAAAAAGTGATAGAACAATTGAGAGACTTAGTTAGTTTACTAATAGACATAAGATTAAATGGTAACTTGGTTACATATAAAACAGAAGACAAAGAAAGAGATGTAGTGTCAACATTACCAACACCACAAATGAGGGAAGTAGAACCATTGGCTAAGGTAACACTATGTGATGAGGAGGTCTGAGCAAGGGAGGAAAACACACCTGGAGTCCCGGTCATATGATCAGAGGCTCCAGAGTCAATTATCCAGGGGGAAGGTTTTGATGCCAGGCAAGCCATACCTGAATAAGCAAGGGTGGCAGTATTCTATTGTGAAATAGCCTGAAGGAATCTCTCATACTCATCTCTTGGGATACTCATCATCTCCTTCCCAAAAGTAGTTGTGGATGTAGAAAGTGTTGAATTAGCCAGTCGATTATCACTAACTTCACTGCCACCAACGACGGCATGATTAGCCCATGTGGAGGGTGTCCCATGTAGATCATAACAAAAATTAATTATATATGTCATTTCCACAGCATGTACATCTCCTAGTAGTGCTTCCTCTTCCTCTACCACGGCCTCCCTCTGAATCACGATCTCCACCAATACCATGACTACGATCAAACATGGGGTTACCAAGGCCCCCTCGAACTGCACGACCACCTCCTCTGTTTACATAAGCTCCTCCTCGTGTTCCAACAAATGGTGATCTACCAGAAGGTATGGTACTCTTTGTGGGTCCAAGAGAGATCCTACGGAGATGGGCAAACACTTCCTCTAGAGTGGGAAGGGCAGATCCACCCAATATTTTTTTTTTATGAATGAAGAAATTTATTAATTCAGAAAAAACACCACTGAAGAGGCACGAGTTGTTACCTCTTCAGAAAAGTATTACACCAAAATAAAACAGAATTAACCATAAATAAAATTACAAAGCAACCCAAAATAGCTGCTCCCTTGTAGCCCCCTTCTTAGCTAACCCATCCACTAAGGTGTTTGCTGATCTTCCCACCCATAGAGAGGTAATAGTCATATTTCTTGTAAGCCAATTTACTCTCCTTAATAAATCTTTGTGTTGCCACATGGCTGAAGCTGAGTCTTTCAACCATCCCACCACAATTTGACAGTCTCCTTCAACTACCAAGTGTTGAACCCCTAATTGTTCTAACAGGTTCATACTCTGGTTTCAGTCCTACTAGGAATCGGGTAACATCGAGTTGCTCCCTTTGTTGTTGCTGAATTTTAACATATAGATTTAAGGGATGATAGACATTAAGTTCGTCCCAAAGATTTCTCATACTGGCATAATACTCTTCAAGGATCTGATTGCCCTACTACAAACTGAAGTACTCACGATAAAGATGATAAACTCTCGTAGTATTGTCTTAGTCGGAATAGAGTTTCTTAGTGTGTTCCTATATCTCCTTTGTTGTGTCTAAGAACATGAAGTTAATACTGGTTTTAGGTTCCATACCGTTCCGCAACCACGTCATGATTTGAGCATCCTCCTGCTCCCAATCACTAAAACCCGAAGATTCAGATGTAGGTTTCTCCTCCCACACATGTTTTACTTTCTTCTTAGCCTTAAGAAACACTTCCACTGACTTAGCCCACGGCACATAGTTTTCACCGTTGAGTTTGATGGATGTCGTCTGCACACTTAAGAAATCAAAGGAAATCATCACACTCAATTTCTGGTCACCACTGTCATCTCCCATTGACGCCATCAAGGTTTCAATTCAAGAAACTGGATCTGCCCTTTCAGAAAAAATAATAAGAATAATAATTATCGGTCCAAACACACCTACTGTTGTTCTTTGAGTACTACACCAACACAATCACCACGATACTACCCAAGTACACGCTTGACCACTTCTGTGTTAGCATAAAAAACTGACTTCTAATAACACCACAGCCACCATCTGAAAAAGAAAAACATCCCTCTTGAAACTGCTCAATAGAGGGTTCAAACCACCATAAACACAACCACACGACCACTAAGGCTGTCGCACATGGTGACAGCAGTCTAGAAACCTCCTACTAGGGCTGTCGCACTCACTTTCACCTGTCACTAGACCACCATAACCCTAGGAACACCTGAATAGGTTACCGCAGCCTTCTCTCACCCTCACTCCAGGTTGCGCAGTTCAGAAAAAAATAAAAGGAAAGAAGGGGGGAAGAAGAACTGATCGAAGCACTGAGAACTTGAAGTTGTAGGCTTCTGCTCTCCTGTTTAACCTGGCTCTGATACCATGTGTTGATAGTTCAGTCGAACCAGGTTCAGAAATAGAGAAGAGAGAAAGAGAGAAGTTTCAAACTGAGAAGTCAAAGGGACCCTCCCAGCCAACCATGTATATATATATATATATGTCAAAGCAAAGTACAATGTCAAATATGCCCCTACTTAAGTATGGGACATGTGACTTAACACAGTACTAAACAGACAAAACACATCTTAACTAATAATGAAAAGACAGAAATACCCTTCCTTAGCCGACTCCAACACATGTCAATTGTTTTTATGAAGCCAAAGCCACCTTGTTCACCTGTTCAACCAAAAGAGGAGCTATACTTGCACATTCACCATGCACCAAAGCAGACAACCCACCTTGCACAAAGATTTTGGCCTAACATCAACAAGAATTGACCTTCAATGAAGCAAAAGAGACACTACCAATACACATGTTCTTACCATCATTTGCACAAAGGTTTTGATTCTTAAGGAAAAGCCACAATGAACACCCACTGCACTCGGTTAACCTCCCCATTACTCTCCATATTCTTTATCTCCCATGACTTCATCCTTTTACAAGAGGTGGATAACGAGTAATAACCCATATCCGGTCATCTTCACTCAACTCCATATCTTGAACCCCTATATTTCCTTTTCTTAACCGTTCAATTAGAACCATAGAAAGGGTCACATGACATCTTATTCTCCCTTTGAAGATTTTTGCGACAAAGCCCCATCCTATTCCCCATTGACCTTATGATTTCATCATTTAAGCTCTCCTTTCAACTACCCAAATGAGTATCCATATCTGGCTCTATGTGCTCTCACCTCTTCAAGATTCTTTGATTCCAGACTTTTCTCAAGTCTTCATCATTTCCAAAGCCTATTATTATCCTTCTTTTCTTTAAATACCCAAATATCTATACTTTTATTTTGAAATTTAAAATCAATCCAACTCCTCCTATCCTCATATACCCCCACCCATGAAATGTCAACCCCACCATCTGTCACCTCATCTTCTTCTGCCTCTCAGACTGACCTATCTTCAATCTGGAACACCAAAGAACCAATCTCCAACCCATCTCCCCTAAACAGTAATTACTTTTCACCCGTCAACCCTTCAGAGTCCACTCCAACACTCTCTTCCCCAACTGCTAATTCCTAACCTTCACTGCAAATACAATCTCAATAAATGATAGAACCATAGATAGATCATCCAATTCAATGAGAATATCAGACACTTGCAACTGCTCCTGCAAAGCGGTTCTATCAATCTTCTTAAAGCGAAACATGCTGACATGCATCCCCAATCTCATGAAAGGATTGAAAACACCATGCATGAAGTGGATTTTTTTTTTTGGTATCTTCTGAAGGACTACACAATGGGGGGTAGCCCATCCCCCAACCCAGGTGCAGGCGGGATTCGATCCCAAGTCTCCGCTACAACCAGCAGGAGACCTTACCAACCAGCTGGTTGGTACCTTGCCACCATGCATGAAGTGAAATTCCAGCCACATTAATATGCAAAAGCTTTATTAAAGACACATTATTTGACAACCCAACCTATAGCACCCAACAACCAATTCCAAGCTCTAGTTTGTTCCAATGCTTAACCTCCCAACATAAGAAACTTTCTGCCTCTTCTTACTAAAATAAATGAAGAGAAACAGGCCCCCAAACAACTTCAAATATGAGAAGAGAAAACCAAAGAGGAGAGAAGAAGAAGATGGAGAATGGGGCAGCAACTCTATTCTTGCCAGCTCAACACGTTATCTTTAATATTAGAGACTAACGAAACATGAAATTACAACTCTGGCCCTGATTAGTTGGCAACAATAAGAAAGACCATAAAACAAATGTAGGTCCAGGCCCACTCAGTCCAAGTGCAGGAAAGCAGAAAGAAATGACAATGAAGACCCATGAATACAACTTAAGCCCATAAATTTATATCCAACAACAGCCCACTCCACCACCACCTACACATCAGGATTAGAATTCACAAAAGATCAAACATGGCAGATATCTAACCATTCCAATCACTATTTTAACTTCCCTACCTCCCAACTTCTCTTTGATCTTCTCTATCCATCTTCTAGAATTTTACTTGGTTCATAATAGTGATCTCATGACAGTTGGTAAAATATTAAATGTCTCTTACAAGTTACAAGGAATGAGGTTAGCAAAACAGATTAGGCTGAAGCAGGTGGAGGTGGAAGGGGACTCAAAATTAGCCATTTCATGGATGAATATTCATGGAGCTTGGATGTACAGGCAAACTCTGAGGAAAACTGGTAACCAAGCAAAAGATGTGGAAGCAACATTCAAATGGATAAAAAGAACAGCAAATGTGTAATATGTAGTACCAAAAAAATGCCATGCCTCTATCAAATATAAGATGATGGGAGCTGGAATGCTTTTAAGCATGGGTTTGTACTATCAAATATTCTAATTTAATTAAGTAATGAAATCTTTGTTGCTGATCAAAAAAATGATGCTTTCCTCATCTGGCATTTTCTTTGCCCTCATGGTCTTGTTAAACAGCTTGGTCACCCAAGATTGGTCAACCTCCCATGCATTTTCATTTTCCACACAGATTCCTAAAATCCTACGTTTGAAATTTCTTCCATGCTCAAAGCTTCATGAGCTGCAGCTTCATTTAACCATAGCATAGTAATCTATCCACTGGATGAAAGCATTGATTCCCATTTATTTATCAAAAAAAGCATCCATTCCCATTTCCATTAGACTTGATTCACACTATACAGATAGAACTTGAAACTTCAATTGACATTATGAAGAGAGGATCCAATCAAAAAGCTGGCATGATTGGAGCATTGAACATGTGCCCAATCCACATGGTTGACTATTTCATGGACTGTTAAATTGACAATGCCATCACTCACCTCATCATTTTTTCTTTCTACTTCCTTTTTCTTCTTTCTTTTTTGTCTTGGGGGTATAATAAGGAGTTCTAGGCTAGTCAAGAAAACCTATTTCTCTTGATCCTACAAAATTACTGAGATAAAAAGAAACTGAATGCACAAAAATTGCAATGGGGAATGACACAGAAATAGAAAAGCAATGCAAAACTCAAATAAAAGGCATAGAATATTGAAACTTAAGGACTATATGAGAATCAAAAATAAAATAAGAATTCCCTGAAGAAAATCTTTAATCTCTTAGGAAGAGATGGGAAACTCACTGAATCAACTGATGCAATTATAGAAACCGCACACATTACTAAAGCCATTTTCCAGTCGAACACAGGTGTACCCCATTGTAATGGATATGGAAATCTAAACCATGGGGAAGATTTTAATGCATGTGAAGTATCAACCCTACAGTGTTTCATCCTGGAAACATGCCTTCTGCAGGCTTCGGATATAATATTTGAGGGAGGTACATTCATATCGCAGCCTTTGTGGTTATAGGCTCCTGCTTCTGTAAGAAGGAAAGCAGCAGCCCATGTGATTGCCAAACCCAACGGAACCTGCACATTATATCAAGGCAATTACATTCACAGTAACTGTAATACCAATAAAAAAAAGAAATGCATTGGAGATACTGAAATCACTGTAAAGATTTAGTCAGTATACAACTTACTGCATAAATTAGAAATATACGATGACCAAAGACTGATATTTTGCGGAGATACTGCAAGAAAAATGTGGAGGAAATAGCATTACACTATCTAGCAGAAATCCCAATATTACATCATCCTGATGATGTTATAGGTTCAAAAAATATTTAACTTGAAGAGGAAGAAGAAGAACCAACGCAAGCTACTCCTTACTTACAAGTGAAAAAATAACAACCAGCAATATCTGCACTGCACCAATCTCAAGGCACATACCAACTTGTGGGAAACCGTAACTGTAGAAGGACAGCCCAACTGCAGCTACAGTTGGGGATACAACCACTGGATTGATGAACCTGGAAAAAAGAAACAATTGTATTAGGTCAAGTGTTTCGAGGTGCTAAGAACAGCATTTAAAACTCAGAGAAGCAAGCTAAAGAAAAAGATTTAATTTAGAGGCCCAAGATAAGGTGATTCCATGAATATTGCTACACATTGCCATAGAATTAGAGCAGGATGGACAAAATGGAAGGGTGCATCTGGAGTTTTATGTGATAGGCCATAGGATAATACCACTTACATTAAGGCCCTGTTCGCTTTTCGGTAAGTTACTTACCTCGGTAAATGCATTTACTTGGGTAAGTGTTTCCCAGAAAACACTTATCCGGGTAAGTGCATTTACCCATGTTCTTTTATTTCCCAGGTAAATAAGACAATGACCGTTTTAGCCATAAAAATCCATTATTAAAAGGGGTAATTTTGTTGCATCCAAGTGTTGGCAACTTTCCCCTCAGGTGGGAAAGTTACTTACCCACCTTGGAGATGGGTATCAAGTAAGTGATACCCAGGGAAAATGAATTTTCCATGGACCCCACATAAATCTGAAAAAAGAACATGGGTATCTTGGTCAATGGGAACCAAAATCCCATTGACCAACTTTCCCTGATCTCAAAATCCAAAAAATCGAACAGACCCTAAATGGAAAATGCTATAAAACTATTGTAAGGCCAGCCATGTTGTATGGAGCAGAGTGTTTTTTTTTTTGGAAAAGGTAATTATTGAGATAAGAGATACACAAGGGAGGCTGAGATCAGTCCCTGAAAGGCCAACTGGTCTAATCAGCAATTACACACTCCACCAAGAAATAGAAAGAAAAACAGCAGACACATTACAATTTCTGAAATCCTCAGACACAGACACCCAAGACATCAGTTTGCCCACTGCTTTCTGAATTAGCTCTTCCGGACTTAAAGCCTTGTTACAGAATATCCTTCTATTCCTCTCAGACCAGATGGACCATAACACAGCATTAGGAATAGTCTTCCAAACAACCTTCTTTTGCTTGCTCAACCCCATGAGCATCCAGCAACACAACAGCTCCTTAACCGAGCTTGGCATGACCCAACTTAAGTTCATAGAGCTGAAGAAATGATTCCACAGCTGAGAAGAAAACGGGCAGTGAATGCACAAATGATCAGTGGATTCAGCACTACTCCCACACAGGCTGCATGACAGGTCCGAAAGCTGAATGCCCCTTCTCACAAGGTTAGCTCTAGTAAGACATTTATTTAGAGCCATAGCCCAAACTAGGAAGTTAGATTTAGTTGGGCAGGTGGGGATTCCACACCTGATGACAAGGGAAATCAGAAACATCCCTTCTACAGATGTTAGAAGCCAGAGACTTGACAGAGAACACACCATCTGAGTTCCACTTCCACTGCCACTTATCCTCTGAGCTGAAATCCAACTCTTGATTCTGAAGACAGGACAACATATTCAAAACCTCATCCACCTCCCAGTCGAAAAGGTTCCTTCTAAATGAAGGACACCAAAGAACTGAACCACCAGAAACACTACAGCACTCTGCAACTGAAGCCTCTTGATTTGAAGCACACTAGAAGAGGAGAGGAAAGGAATCAGCAAGGGGGTTATCCGAGCACCAAGAGTCCTTCCAAAACTTGGTCTTAATACCATTGCCAACTTTAATTGAGACCCCACCAGCAAGAGCTGAGAAATTCTTCATTATCCCTTTCCACAAAGAGTTTCCCCAATTGGGAGGAGGGTCCCTCATTCTCCAATTACCCCATTCCACACCATATTTACTAGCAATGAGAGATCTCCACCAGGCATCATTTTCTGCCGCAAATCTCCAAATCCACTTGCAGAGGAGAGCAGAATTAAAAGATTTCAACTTCCTTATACCTAACCCCCCTTCATCTTTGGGGAGGCAGACTTGCTCCCAACTTACCAAATGCATTTTTTTCTCCTCTTCCCATCCCCTCCAAAGAAAACTCCTTTAAAGTTTTTCAAGCCGACTTGCAACATTCAACTTTGTTTAGAATAGAGAAAAGAGGCAGGGAATAGGTGGTAAATTGGAAAGTGTATTGTTAATCAAAGTCACCCTACCCCCAAAAGAAAGGTATTTTGCCTTCCAAGAAGCCAGTTTTCTCTCCATTCTCTCAATTACCGGGTCCCAAATTGAAGATGAGCCACAACTCACCCCCAGAGGGAGACCCAAATATTTGACTGGGAGGGACTCAATCTGACAAGCCAAAATTCCTGCACAATCTGCTAAATTGGAAACCTGGCCCACTAGAATTATTTGACGCTTATTCCAATTGACTTTAAGGCCAAAAATCAATGTTTTAAAAGGCATGGGAGGTGTACGCCTAGAGGCACTCCAGGCGAGGCACTCCCAAAACGCCCTGAGGCGTATGCTAGAGGTGCTGACACCTCTGAGGCGTACGCCTCAGGTGCAAGAGGCGTATCTAGAGGCGTACGCCTCTTGCGCCTCATGCACATCTGATATGAAAATACAGAAAAAAAAAAAAGAAAAAAAGGAAAGGAAAGGAAAGGAAAAGAAAATAAAGGGAAAGGAAAGGAAAGGAAAGGAAAGAGAAGAAAAAAAGAGAAAAGGAAAGAAAAGAAAAGTAAGGGAAGGGAAGAAAAGATAAGGGGAAAGAAAATGGTTTGCCCCCTGTCCCTTCGGTTCGCTTCAACAAGACCCCCCCTTTGAACTACTGTTATGCATCTTTATTCTTCTTAATATAAAATATTTTTATTAAAAATAAAGAAAAAATGAGATCCCCCCTTCCTTTTCATCCTCCTCATAACCCCCCTCCTCTTAAGGAGGCTTACGCCTCCTTGTGTTCGGGAGGCTTACGCCTCTTGCATTCTGAATTACGCCTCACGCCTCTAGGTAGTGGAACGCCTTGCGTCACGCCTCCGCGTTTTAAAACACTACCAGAAATCACCTCAAACCAAGATAAGGTCCCAAGAATTAATTCCACCTAAGAGGGGGAGGCATCCACAAAGCATAACGTATCATCTGCAAATTGGAGAATGTTCACCTTCTCTCCCCCCGAAGAAATTGCAAAGCCTTCCCACTCACCGGAAACAACAGCCTTTTTACAAAACAAAGTGAGGATCTCCATTACACATATAAAGAGTAGGGGAGACAGGGGATCACCCTGTCTAAGACCCCTGGAACTATCAAAGAAGCCTGCGAATTGTCCATTAACCAAAACTGAATTTTGGAGAGGTGATACAAACTTTTACCCAGTTTCTCCATTTCTGCCCAAAATTCATCTGTTGTAACACAAGATCAACCCATCTCTAATTAACATGATCATAAGCCTTTTCAATATCAAGCTTGCAAATCAGCCCCTGGGAACCTTCTTTTTTCCTGGAATGTATAAGCTCATTAGCAATAAGTACAGAGTCCAGCATCTGTCTACCCAGAACAAAAGCACTTTGGTTATTGGAGATGACACTACCTAGAACCCCTTTCGTTCTCTCAGCAAGAACTTTAGCTAAGATTTTGTAGAAGCTATGCAGAAGACTAATCGGCCTGAAATCCTTAATGTTCACTGCACCTTCAATCTTCGGAATGAGGGTTATAAAGGTAGTGTTTAAGCTCCTCTGCAAGGAACCTCTCATAGAAGTCCTGGAAGACATTCAGAATATCCTGTCTCACAACATCCCAACATTTAATATAGAAAAGGTTTGTAAGACCATCAGGCCCTGGAGATTTCTCATCAGCCAACAACTTGATTGTTGCTTTTATTTCCTCCTCCGTGAAGGATCTTTCAATAAGAGAAGACCGCACATCACTTAACTATTTAAAAGGAAGGGACCTAGGAAAAGGTCTAAAGAACCAAGACTACTTATACAACTTTTTATAAAAGTTGGTTGCCACTAGCTTCATATCTGCCTCAGAGACACCCACCTTGCCCTCTCCCTCCAACTTGGTAATTACGGAGGCTCTAGCTCTTGCATTTGCCATTTTGTGAAAGAAGTGTATTCCTGTCACCCTCTTTAAGCCAAGCCACTTTAGCTCTGTCTCCATTTAACTTCTTCTGACACTGCCAATTTATCATACTTCAGCTTTGCCTGAGATCTTTTTAATCTATGCTCCTCTGATATAGGACCCAACTCTTCTGTTGAATCAATTTCCTTTGTGGAGTAGAGTGTTGAGTAGTCAATAAACAACATGTCCAGAAAATGAGTGTGCCAGAAATGCATATGCTGAGATTATGGGTGCCAAATGGGTGGGTTGGGTGTGGGTACCAAGCCTAGTGACCCACAACCCACTTTGACCTTGACCCACACCACGATTCAAAATATCGAGACAGGTCAATATGTCGGATGGGGTGTATCGGCTTGTATCAAAGCTTGCCTTCCTTTTTCTAGCTTTTTTTCTCTCAAACT